AGCAATTTATTATCGAGCACATATTATGTGCCAGGCTCTGGGGATACAGTGGTAAACAAAACAGACATTGTTTTTCACTCAGGGAACTTACAGCCAAGAGGGGGCAGGGGTCTTAAGGAAATAAACAAAAATCTTCCAGTTGTGATAAGTGTTTTCAAGGCAAAGAGCAGAGTAATATGAAAAAGAACAACCGAGTGAGAGAAGAACTATTAGTAGAGTGGTTAGGGAAGCCTCTCTGAGATATCAGCTGGAACACAAACAGAAGCAATCTACTTTTGAAAGAAAACTGTTCCAGACAGAGAGGGCTGTCCAGGCAGAGTGAATATTCTGTGTGAAGTCCCCGGGCAGGAAAGGTCTTGGTGTGTTCCTGGAACTGAAAGGAGGCAGGTGTGGCTTGAGCATAGTGGACAAGAGAGGGGGAAGAAAGATATGAGGTGGTAGAGAGATGAGAGCAAGGGCAGAGAGGGATGAGGCTGGAGAGAAGGCATCCAGGGTAAATATGGCTCACAAGCGTAGTAGCATTTTCAAGCAGGAGTTGGTAAACATTTTCTGCAAAGGGCCTGTATTAGGGTTCTCTAGAGGGACAGAACTAATAGAATACACACACACACCCACACCCACACCCACACACACACACACACAAAGGGAAGTTTATTAAGTATTAACATACACAATCACAAGGTCTCAAAATAGATCATCTATAAGCTTGAAGAGCAAGGAGAGCCAGTCCATGTCTCAAAACTGAAGAACTTGGAGTCCAATTTTCAAGGGCAGGAAGCATTCAGCATGGGAGAAAGATGTAGGCTGGGAGGCTAGGCTAGCTTCCCTCTTCACATTTTTCTGCCTGCTTTATATTTGCTGGCTGCTGATTAGGTGGTACCCGGCAGATTAAGGGTGGGTCTGCCTTCCCCAGCCCACTGACTCAAATGTTAATCTCCTTTGGCAACACCCTCACAGACACACTCAGGATCATTACCGGGTATCCTTCAATCCCATCAAGCTGACACTCTGTCATCACAGGGCCAAAGATTAACAGTTTAGGCTTTGATAAGTCATAAGGTCTCTGTGACAACTATTCAGTTCTGCAGTTGCAGCACAAAAGCAGACACAGACAATACTTAAATGAATACAGGTGGCTGTGTTCTAGTAACATGTAAATATTTATCAAAACAGGCAGTGGGTGGACTTAGCCTACAGGCCAAATTCTTTCAGTTGCCAACCCCTGAAAGAATAAAATTGGGCACAATACTATCCTAGGAAACATAGGTAGGAGCAGGACACTCATCTTCCAGATGAGTCAGCATTAGTCAGACCATCACTGAATGAATGTTTTCCTTGGGCTCCACACTTAAGTGGGATATGATAAAACTCACGTAGGTTCTAAAATAGTGATGATTAAAGGTTTGGAAAACTGGCCAAGTAAAAAGTTTAAATGAGCTGATGTATTCAACTTGCGCAACAAAGAAGTTAATAAAATAGTTTTCACATGTTTTAAGTGTTATTTTGCTAAGAATTGTCCAACTGTTTGTTCACTGAGTAGAGAGACATGGGAATTGAAGAGAAGGGAATAGCAAGACATGAGAAGAAAATGGAACTGGAAGAATATAATGACCAGACGAGGTAAACACCAATAAACAATGGGCCCCATTGGCTCCCCTCTCTGCCTCCATGGCAGACTCTTCTGTCCAGGAGTAAAAGAATATTTTAACTAATGCATATTAATATATCTCATTTTAAAGGAACACGATAGTGTATACTTTTATCAAGCGAATAGTTGCTCATAATTAGTCATCTTTAAAACATCACATTTTCCTTTTTTTTTTTTTTAAAGCCACATTGTATAGATCAATTACTATAGGCCAAGTGCGCTGAGCATTTGACATCATCTTGTTTACTCTTCACAATACTCCTAGGAAGTCAATACTATCCCCATCCTCATTTTACTAAAAAAGAAGTCAATGCTATTATCTTCATTTCACAGAAAACTTAATGTTACTAAATAATTTGTCCAATGCCAACTAGCAAATACATGGTAAACCCAATTAATTTTATTTTTTAAGTGAGGAATAGTAAATGAGGAGCAGCTGTATTTACACTTCTTTTTAAAATAGCACTGAGTAATATTTATCATAAGATTTCTACTTTTTTAATCAAAAAGGCCAAATATTAGAATGCACTTCTGGCTACAGCCAATCTAGCTTATCTGCAGTTCTATAAACAATAATTTCTACTTATTGTCTGTGTGTGCTTGTTATGTGAAGAGGCTCAAATCTTTAAAAACTCTAAGATATAGATTCATTTTTCTTAGTTCTCTTAGTATCTTTTGTAGTAATTAGGGTTTTTAAATTTCTTTAAAAAGAGGAAGCATAATTAGTTTATTATTTCTGATACTTCTAATATCTGAAGTATTTGTAGGTCTGTTTTTGTTGTTTCTTATTCTGTTGGTTCCTACTCTTGGGTCTTACTTCTATACTGTGTTTAGATATTTTTTGTTATATGCTGCTTGTTTTTTTCAGAAAATTTATTGTGAGACTTCTTTGAGGCCTAGGATAAAGGAATATTCCTCCAGAGAGGACTGGAATTTACTTCTGCCAAATGATAGGAGGCACGACCACTTCAAGGCCAATTTAAACAAAATTCAGAACCTGTGGTTTTATTGGACTGCAAATCTGGGAGTCTGGGCTGCAAATCTGTGTCAAGATTAGCTTGTGGTTATATCTCAGGGATAGCTTTCCCTCTTTCTGTCACTACTTGGTGCCAAGGTAAATATGCTTGCACTCTTTGGAGGAGGCTATGAGGTGAATTTTTTTCTGGGTTACCCTTATATTTTGAGATCCCAGTATTATGAGCAGATAGGACTTCTATCACCCACAGAGCCATATGCCCTTTGCTCTTGGCTCCTGGGAGAGGATCTCTAAGTTCTTGGAATGTACTGCCCAATAAGAATGTCTTTGTGTACCTGAGAGCCTGGACCACACCAATAGCATAATGTGATTTAGAGTTGGGGCTGTGAGTCACATGGTGTTGGCTCAAGCTCTAGAGGGGCTGGACTACAGGTCAGCTACAAGGCAGGCAGCCAGGTCTAACTGACTGGGCCCCAATAAAAACGGAAAACCATGGCTCAGGTGAGCATCCCTGGTGAACAAAACTGCACATTGTCCCGCATCCTTGCTGTGAGAAGTTGGCACTGCCCATGACTCGGCTGGGAGGGGGCAATGAAAGCTCAGTATGTGGATTCTGCCCCATGTGTCTCTGCCTTTGGCAGATTTTAATCTGTATCCATCTGCTGTAATAAATCATAGCTATGAGTATAAAAGCTTTCAGTGAGTTATGTGAATCCTTCCAGCAAGTTTTGGAGTCTATAGCTATCTTGGGGACCACAAACTTGTAATTGGTATCAGAAGTGAGGGTGGTCTTGGAGACTCCCCTACCTCTGCAGTTGTTTTCAGTAGAAAGTGGTTGCTTCAGTGGAAAGGTGGTCTCATTACCCAGCCAGTCACATAGTTAGAAATGGAAGAGTCTGTAGTAATTAGGAGATACAACAGTTTCCTGCCATATCTGTTTCAGTTAAGTTGAGCAGTATGACTGAACTAACTTTAATCAAAATGTCAGAACAGGCTTTTATGAAATTCAGATAGAGTCAAAGATGACTAGTTTCTCAATAAAACAAATTTCATCATATGTGTATGCATCTATATATAAGATACATATTTCTGGCTATATATGTATGAATATACCTAACAAAATATCACTGGATTGAGAGTCAGCAGATGTGGATTACATTTAGAGTTCAGATTCTGCCACTTCCTAGCAAAGTCAACTTTGGTGATTCACTTAAATTTTTTTAGTCTACTTTTTCATAAACCCAGTCACCTAGGTCAGGTGTTCTCAGTAGGGATGATTTTGCCTACCAGGGGCCATGTTGGAAATTGATGGGCTACTTTTGGTTGTCATAATATTTGAGAGTACTATTGGCATTTGGGAGAAGCCAGGGATTCTAAATTTTCCACACAGCACAGCACTGCCCATCAAAGAATTGTTCCACATCCCACACAAATGTTGGATGTTGTATCAGACATTCCCATAGGTATGATAGCTTTATATAATTATATGAGCCCAGAATCCAACTCCATTTTTTTGCAGAAAAACAAAGTATGTTTTTGCATGATTTTAATACACATGGAATTTTCCATATTTACAACTACCAGGTATTGAGGGGAGATTGCACTTTGTTTGGTTTGGCACTTTCCCTGAGATGCTGCTAGAGTGAGTCATGGAGGCTGCCCACCTGCATGAGTCTGCACGTGTAGCTGCACATGTGTGGTGCAGGCATAGACTGCTCCACAGGTCTTCCAGTATGGTCCTAAACTGAGCATCCCCATATTAAAGGGCAGAGTAATTATTACAAATTACTTTTGTTTCTCCTCTGTGTTGTAGGTAGTGCATTATGTGTGCCTTTAGGTTATAGTATCGGTGGAATTAATTTTTTAAAAAATTAAACCTATTCCTCCCATATAACTGAGGCTTTGTCCCCTTTGACTATCATTAGCTTGATTTTTTTGTGAGATCAATTGTACAATATGCTGAATATGGCTAATAATTGAGTACTGTGTATTTCTTTTCTCTTTTCTGGTTTTTTTTTTTTTTTTTGAGATGGAGTTTCACTCTGATGCCCAGACTAGAGTGCAGTGGCACAATCTTGGCTCACTGCAATCTCTGCCTCCTGGGTTCAAGTGATTTTCCTTCCTCAGCCTCCCAAGTAGCGGGAATTACATGCATGCATCACCATGCACAGCTAATAATTTTTGTACTTTTAGTAGAGACAGGGTTTCACCATGTTGGCCAGGCTGGTCTCAAACTCGTGACCTCAAGTGATCTGACCATCTTGGCCTGCCAAAGTGCAGGGATTACAGGCATGAGCCACCACACCCAGCTAACTTTTACATTTTTAGTAGAGACGAGGTTTCGCCATGTTGACCAGGCTGGTTTCAAACTCCCGACCTCAGGTAATGTGCCCGCCTTGGCCTCCCAATGTGCTAGGATTACAGGCATGAGCCACTGCACTTGGCTGAGTACTGTATATTTCAGTATCACTAAAACAGTAAATTTCAAATCTCCTTATCACCAAAAATGTGAGCTATTTGAGATGATGGATATATTATTTCATGTGATTTAATTATGCCACATTATATTAAAAATTATAATGTCACTTTGTACCCTATAAATATATACAATATAATTTGTCAATATACAATTAAAATATATAATATAATTTAATAAATAAACCACATAAATTTTATTCTGTGTGGTATCCTAGTGTCCTGTCAGATTTGCCCTATGTAGATTACACACACATGCAGAAAATGATTTAGGATCCCCTTTTTAATGAAAAAATATCCACATTGTTAAGAATATACCAAGGTCCATAACTCTGTAAACTTTCTTCCTGCTTTCACTTCAGTTAATTGGCCTAGTTTGGGCTTTATGCAGTAAAAAGCTCTTGATATGTTTCTAAGCCACCCTGTCCCATGTGGCTTATAACTACCTGCTCCTTCAATATATGGCCTTTTATCAAGGATGATCTTCTGGTTCAGAGAAGAAAGGGGCCATCAAGGTGATTTTCAAAGGTAGCCTCTACTTGGGACCAAGTGATTATGTCTTCATTTCAGCAAAATTCATTTCAGTGGACTTACTACTAAGTAGTGAATTCACACTAGTGAATAAGATGTGTCTTTCATCATAAAGGTCTTGTAGTGTAATTGGGGAGAAAGTCTTCAACCCCAAAGGCTATGACATAATGCAGGGAATGTGAGGTATAAGCAAATGCTATGAGGGACATGGGGGAGTAACTCATTTGACCTGAAAGAATGAGGAAGGGTTTTTAAGAAGTGGGATTGGGGGAAAAAAAACGAAGTGGACTGGTTTGGGCAGAGGTGTTTCAAGCAGGGGCACTTCATTAACAGGGGATGAAGAGGAGAATAGAAAGCATGAGAGAAGCCTCAGGGAAGTCTGGTTAGCATGCTCAGAAAGTTAACATCAATGAGGAAATGTGGGCAAGAAAGCTAGAAAGATAGGTTAGGATCTATCATAGTTAGCTCAGGCTGCTATAATAAAGCACCATGAACTCGGTGGCTTATAAACAATAGAAATTTATTTCTCACAGTTCTGGAGCCTGGAAGTCCAAAAGCGGGGCACCATCACTGTTGGGCTCTGGTGCAGACTCTTTCCTGGTGTGCAGACTGCTGACTTCTTGTTATGGCCTTGCATGAGGAAAAGAAGACGAGAGTTCACTGGAGTTTCTTCTATAAGGGCACTTATCCCATTCATAAGGGCTCTTCCCTCATGACTCAGTTGCCTTCCAAAGGTCCCATCTCCTAATACCATCTCATTGAGGGTTCAGATTTCAATACATGAATTTTAGGGGGACAGAAACATTCAGTCAATTGCAGGATTCAGTTATGGGGACCTTGAAAGCCAGGCTGAGAGGTCTGGAGAGAATCTTGCAGGTAAGAGGGAGTCATGAAGTTTGGAGGACAATGACACGATCAGAGCCCTGGTTTTGGAAAATTCTCTAGCCAGCAACTTCAGGATGCATTGGGGCCAGGAGAAGGTAGGGAGAAAGGGACTTCATTAAGTTGGTAGTTGTGCCAATGCCCCCAGGTAGGAATATGAGGATGGGAAGCAGAGAAAAGCAACCATACTATAATAAGAGGGCAGAGAGAGATTCACCGAAGAGGAGGATTATGAGGAGGGGCTGTACCTTGACTCCAAGGGTTCTGGCCTGGGTGTCGGAGTATTTAGTGATGATGCCATAACCTGTATACCACCTTCAAGGGGAGGAAATGATAATGAGCTTCGCTTTTAGACCAGTTGGATTTGAAGGCAGATACTATGTTCATATGGAGATGTCCAGCACAGTATTAGAAAAAGAGGCTGAGTGCTCTACAGTTTCCAGAGTATCTGTCACTTCTCTATTGCCTTTTCCTTCTCTGAATAAAAGGCCTTTTCTCCATCACAGCTGAAAGGCTATAGATAGCACTGTGGTTAACAGCTCATGCGGAACCCAGTCATCCTAGAATCACATACTAGTCTTGCCTCTCTCTAGCTGTATGACCTCTGGTGAGTTATCGGATTTCTCTGCGCCTCATCAGTTTCCTCACGTATAAACTGGTGATAACAAAAGTATCTTCTGTATAATGTTCCCCAAAATAAATAAATTAATGCCAGTTAATACCTGGCATATTGGAAATGCCTAAAAATATCACCTGTTATTAAGCCAAATTATTTACCATTCCACGAACACATCCAGAACTTTCCTTCCTCCCATCATTTGTCCCTGCTGCTGCTCTCCACCTGCAATGCTTTCCTATTCTCACCCCAGTTCATCCCCCAAAGGAACTGATTCCTCCTGATCATCTTACTCTCTACACAAGATTCTATAATCCTACATACTTGACTCTAGGAGCCAGGGTTCGAATATGTAATTATCCACAAGATTGGAAAATCCTGTACACTCACTGTGATGATTAAAAAAGACTTGACTGGTTTAGAAGGTGAAATTCAGACTTTATCCTATTAAAGAAAATACTCTCATCCTGTAGGCTTTCCTAAAACCTTTAACAGAGGGATCATATAGCAAAGCACCTCACCAAAATAAAGGCTTTATTGGAATATAAAAAGGAGAAAATAAAAGTTTGGAAATCACAAACATGCGGTAATATCTAATGTTTGCTACTGTTCTCTCTCTCTCTCTGTGTGTGTGTGTGTGTGTGTGTGTGTGTGTACAATTGAATACTTGGCACCTCTATTTTGGATTCCTCTTTGGCACTTTCCCAGGTTAAAAGGGCTACCAGTCAGTTTTTCCCAGCTACCTTCCACCTATGCTTTGTTTTGGCAAGCATAACTTGCCTGAGAGCTGCAGAAATGCTACTCTTGCCAGACTGGAAAAGACATTGTTCTCTGTAAAACTAAGATAAGAGATTTTGAAGCAGAATGGCTAATCTGCTTCAAACTATGACTTTAACAATGTTTTTAAGTTATCTGAAACAGTAGCTCAATGTCATTCTTTGGGTTTCTACTTATTACAGTATCTTTCTTCTGTTTTAGAACAGTTCCTATAGCAGTATAATGAAAATAACCTTTATTTTTTTTTCAGCCACAAGGAGAGAACTATAAATTATTCCTCACCCTAGTTTCCTTTCAGCACATACAAAAGCCCATGCTTGCTCTGCCCCAATAAATCAAAGCTTCAAAAAGGGCAAGGCTAATCAGAGAATGCAGCTTCTTCTAACTAGACAATAAATTTCTGTGTCTGTCATCTTTGGAATTAATAAGAGAGAAAGGGCCACTTTACACAAAGTTTCCAAACCAGGTCAAGAAAGAGTCACAACATAGAATGGATTTGTAAACCTGGTCATTATGTACATCTAAGACTATATAATCTAACAAGAAATGAAGGTTCATGTGCATTTTACACTTACTCATGTGTAAAATGCACATGAACCTTGTGTAAAATGCACGTTAACCTTCACTTCTTGTTAGATTATATGGTCTTTGGTCCTTTCCAACAGGACCAAAGACTTAATCGTTTTATTTTTGAAAATTATATTTTCAAAAAAGAAATAAATGGTTTTAAGCTGGGAGGAATAAGGAAAATGTCTCTTAGAGGAAGGGATATCGGAAATAAACCTTAAAGGATATAGAACCTTTTAACAGCCAGGAAGATTCACAATTGTTTTATAAGATTGGATTAACTTAAATCAATCATACCCTATTGACCCAACTTTTCTAGTTTTTCAATATGAATGTCCCCAATAGAGTAATTAATGAAGCCAACATTGACCAAATTCATTCTCTGCATCAGGCATCGTGCTAAGCACAGGATTAAGAAGATGAATAAAACACTGAAACTGCCCTCAAAGAGCGCCCACCCTTCAAAAAGTTCAACTGTTGCTTAATTTTATTACATAAAATAAAACACAAGAATCATTATAAATTGATTCCCAAGTTTACTTGGAAGCTCTACATGAAAGTTTTGTTCCACCGCAATTTTCTGAATTTAAAAGAAATCGAGTGACCTAAGGTACAGAGAAGACAGCTTTCCCAGGATAGAAAGGAGTTGCAAAAAATCAACTAAATCTAATATACTTTCACCAAAGCTACAGTAAAGCTGGTAATTTTACATAACCGCTTTAAAACTAAAAAAGAACAAGAACTATCAAAGCTTGTGATACAGCACTTCTATAAAGGTAGAATAGGCAATATGTATATTATGTATTATGTATATAATTATATTTGTAGTCCCAGGTTGAACCCAAACAGTGCTAACACCTGAGATTTCTGCCCTGAATCTGTTTATGTGCAGGACTAAGGACGAAGGGAACTTCTGGGAGAACCTCATTTTAGAAGAGAGAATTCAGCACTTGGGTTTGGTTCAAAAATAGTGTTTTAGTGTTTGAGTAAATGGTACTCAAAATTTGTCCTCAAGTCTAGCCCCTGGGCTGGGATGAGAATTTCAAATTTTAAAACATTCAAAAGAGCAACTTTCACTAAGAAACTGCAGAGAAACACCCGTTTTGGGATCTGTGTCACAAAGTGCAACACATGGTGGAAAGGATCTACGTTCTCCTTCCGTCTATACCCTACACAGTGTAACTTTGACTTATTGAAGTTTCCAAGACTGTTTCACTCCTTTGCTCCATTGGAGGCTCCCAGGTAGGAGGGGCACCTACATCTCACATGGGGCAGCAGTGAAGATCATCAGCACCAAATGATGCTGAAGAAAAAAACGGAAGAAAGTGGCAGATGCCACGAGGCAAATGATGCATAGGTGCACCCCACAGGGCACCCTAGACATAATTGGAGACTATTTTGCAGGGAGCAGCAGGACTTTCAATAGTAAGTGAGGATAAGAATCAGATAAATAGGATTTATTCCTGCTCATCTCACCTCATTGTCTACTCCCTGTGTTCTGCTCCATAAACATAGGTTACTCAAGTATTAGATCCTAATTCATTTCAAGAATGTGTTGAATTATTCTTTAAGTAGAAATAAAAGTGCTCACTTATCTGAAATTTGGTAACATAGTCAACAACTTCTTTCCCATCATGATATTTCAGGTGAACACTGAGATTTGATACTGTGGAGATCCCACAGCATAATTCTGAGAAGGCAAATGCATCAGGAAATACGAATAGAAGGAAGTAGGGCTGGTTCACCAGGGAAGACGCTTTGCCTCGTTCTCCTGAGAACCAGTGACACTGAACAAAAAGATTCCTGGTACTTTTGGAAATTAGATAAAAAGTAAATGGAACTTTAGTCCAGAGGGCATCCCTGTAGGATGCCTGGTCAGAAACTTTGGGGCTGGATTCCTTTTCTTACTTAAAAGATTTTTGCAAAAGCTTTTCTGCTTGCAAAAGAAGATTCTGAAAAAGATCTCATTTTAAAATATCTGTATGAAAATGCTTAGAATGGACTGTCACATCCCTAATTAGAACAAAGTTGACCGGAGATGGAAAACCATGTATTCCGTGAAGACTTTAATGGGCTTCACAAATAATTCAAAGTAGAATAGAAAAGAAAGCACCAACAAAGCTATTTGATCAAGACATATTTTGAGTTTTTTGGAATTGGGAAACCTCTTCTTGTTTTGCAACAAAAGATCTTTTCTTCTTCTCCTCAACCTACCTTGTGTTCTGTAACCAGATTGATTTTTCTATGCATCACTTTTATATTATTCTCCCGCTTAAAACCTCAGAAAATCAACTCCACAGGAAATGACAAGGAGGGGTGGCAGAGCAGCAAATTTATAGAGTAACCACTGTATCTAAAATGCATTGCACACTGTGTGCCAGGTGCTGTTCTCAACATTATGTATGCATTAACCCATTTAATGCTCAAATAATCCCTATGAGACAAATGCTACTTTTTTTTTTTTTTTTTTTTTTTTTTTTTTTTTTTTTTTTTTTTTTTTTTTTTTTTTTTTTTTTTTTTTACCCCATTTTCAAGATGAGTTTAAAGAACGTGCTCAGGATTGCACAGGTGGCATTTCAACCCAGGCAGGCGGGTTCTAGAACCCTCTCACTCTTAACTTCTGCATCTACATTTCAGAACTGAAAAAGCCCTCTGGCTCTTTTTAAATGGTATTGCCTAGGAAGAGAGGAAGAGGGTGTGGGAAATTTAAGGGGAGGTACAGGTCAGAGAGATCCTTTTCACCAAAGACTGGTTCCCTTCAGTGGTTTCCAGTGAAAAAATAGAGAAGATTCCATTATTTTTGTGGGCACTTATGAAGTGCTTTGTTTTTACAATTTATTTCCCAGTTTTGATCTGCAGAAAGCCTGCCATGTCCGTTTTAGGCTGGGAAAAGCACTGGCAAAGGGTGACAAGCCCTGTTTTCCTTGAGTTTAGGAAGAGTTCAGCCAGAACCTCCATAGAGGAAATCTACTGCTGCTAACGGCTTGAAATTAGATTAACCACCTATTGGTGTTCATGATTTTTTTTGTTTGTTTTTTAGCAGATTTATTGAAATTTGCAACCAAAACACAAATACAGTGCACATAAATTATGACAATAAAAATCATTTTCATCTTTTTTCTAAAACAAGTAATAAAAAGTTTTAATCTATGCAATGTTAAAAAGATTTCAAATACAAATATTCAAATATTTATAGAAAAAAACTAATCAGGTTGTGTATAGTAGACGAGAAAGGTGAATAAAGAAAATGTAGGTATCTGGTCAGCAGTTGTCTTTCTGACCAGAAAGGCTGCCGAAGGTCCAAGCAAGTTTACTAAGAGACAGAACCAGGACACAAATCCTGCACTTTGCTTACCTTGTAACCAAAGGATCCTAGAATAAGCATGGCCCTGAAAATGGGATTGAGAACAAATTGGTTTAGTTTATTACAGAATAGAAATAGGGACATATTTTTAAAAGAATGGTAGTCCAGTTTAGATGCTTTTTAAAAGGTAGTTTTGAACAATTACGTGTTTGTCATTCTTAAAACTGGATAACTTACCTCTTAGAATGACTGATTTCCATTAACTCCCTCAAACTTTTTCTCCCAGATTAAGGATTGATGATGAACTCTGATTCAGTAGATAAAATCTCAAATGTATCTTACAATGTAAAATGTATCTTAAAAGGTAAAACATATAGTAAAATGTAAAAATCTTAAAACGTAAACCGAGAGAAATGGTTACATGAAATCATATTGATATGATTGTGTAGTTAAGATTATTTAAGAATGTGTAGAACTCTTAGATAAGCATGTAGTGGGACACACTCCTCTGATGGGTACCATAAACGGTGATTCTTCTCTAGCTACAGACTAAGATGTAGCAATCATTCCTACATTCCTGAATAACAATGAAGTGTGGATCTCAATTAATCTTTGTCATACATTAGGTGCAAAAACAAACGTACAGGGACAACAACTAGGTTGGCTTTATCTATCACACAAAATGAAAACTAACACTGTCAGCACTTTTTACAAGTCTGGCTACTAAGCAGACTTAATTACCAAACTTTTTTCTGGTATCTATGGAATCAAACATGCTTTGCTAATATTGGCAGATTCTTGTTTAGTCAAGCTACTCTTGGCAAAACCAGCAAGGCTGTAGTTTGTATGTAATCTGTTGGCATTTAACAATGCAGCTGTTGATGGAATTGAATTATTTTAACCATATATGGTACCAACAGTATATGTACACTTTAAGCTTAATTGAGCCATGTCTGAAATAGCACCTCCCTTTACTCTTTCTTAATTCATCTTTTTTCTTATTGTGCTTTTTAGAAATAATATAATAATTTTATGATAAAACATAGTACTTCTTTTTTGTCTGCTTCCCCCATGAGAATGTAAGCTCGATGAGGGCAAGGACTTCCTCTTATTGTCTCTATCTGCAGTATCCATAGCTACGCCTGAAATGTAGTAGATGTTCTAAAAGTACTCACTGAATGAACAAACCTGTATAGGTTTGCCAAAATGAGTGGCCAACAGAAATTTTCAACAGGGTCTATCCACTGTAATTTTACCATAACTTTATACTAGGTAAGAACAAGTTCACAGAACCATTTGTTTACAGCAGATTTTAGAGACACAAAAAATGGACTGGAAATTTAGTGTTTTACTAAGAGGTCCCTGGTAAACTATTTTTTTTCTCACTTTTTTTTTTGTTGTTTTGAGGCAGAGTCTTGCTCTATCACTCAGGCTGGAGTGCAGTGGCACAATCTCGGCTCACTAAATCTTCCACCTCCCGGGTTCAGGCAATTCTCCTGCCTCAGCCGCCACTTGGGAGGCTGAGGCAGGTGAATCACTTGAACCTGGGAGACAGGCTGCAGTGAGCTGAGATCACACCATTGCACTCCAGTCTGGGCAATGAGAGTGAAACTCCATCTCAAGAAAGAAAAAAAAATGTTAGAAAACCTGGGGATAGAAAACTCAGGGTTTTTAGGTGGTCTGTAGGGATTAATCCTAATAGGTTTGATGAGCAGCAGGGATATTTGCAAATCTAGAGATTGTCCTCCTGATCCTGGAGGAGGAAAGGAGGATGTCAGAGAGTAATGGATCAGATCTTGGGCAGAGGAGATGGACGTGCCTGGCTCAAGTCCCAGCTTTGATCCTAGCGGTGTGATTCTAGGCAAGTCTCAAACCTTCTCCGTGAAATTAGGAGCTAGCCTGTACTCTGTGGGATTCCTTCTAGCTCTATCATTCTCACCCAAAGGTTTCCTCAACATCTGTGCTGGTACACAAGGATCAGAACAACTCTGAAACAGGATGTTGGTGAGGTATATTTATTAATTTGCAATAGTGTATGGTAAAGGAAATAAAGAACAAAAGAAACATGCAGATTTGCATAAATGGGAAAACCTTTGCAAATCATTCAACACACATCTACTGAGCATCCCCTCTGAATAAAGCATAAAATGTTTTCTATTTGTTTTAAATGATCCTGAGAAACTCTTTAAAAGTTTATTTCCTAGGATTTATAGCAGTTAACATTCAGTTCCACCAATAAAATTCCTCAATGGATTCCACAGGACAGATGGGTCTCCATTAGCTACTAACCTTCCAGGTGGTGCTGACAAAGCACATATGTGAATACTCCTCTCAGTGGGAAATAGAGATGTAACTTCTATACTTGCCTCAACCTGCTACTAAGACTTTCTTCACAGTCCTGGATTTTCAAAGATCTAAAGTTAACTCTTCTCTTAGAGAATATATGCAAACAAGTAAACTTAAAACTTCAATGTAATGCTCTCAACCCATAGCTCTGGTTCTTGTCTTTGTATTCGATGCCCCCTGAGCAGACTGCCAGCCTCGGTGTGCTCCTGCTTGAGAGCTGTCTGTCGGGGGAGGAGAATGCCCAGCTCCAACAGTTACATCTTCAAAAAGGCCACCTGGAGAAGGAAGGAAAACCCACAATGCTTTACTTCTATAACATGACAAAAGAACTACATGCACATCAAATCAGAATCAGGTAAGTCTGGTCAATAAGAACACATGCCAATTTAAACAGAAAAATGACTCCTAGTGCAGCCTGACATTGCATTTTACAGCGGGAACCAATTAGCCTTTTTTATTTTTTAATGAACCATATAGTAATTAAGATGATTCACATACATTTTACAGAAAAATAGAGTTTTAATTGAAACTAAAGTTCTATTGCCGTGAAGTAATCCAGTCCTTATTCCACTGGTTCGCAACTATTGTTTTGGACCTTCCATATTTAGAATTCTGAGTCTCATTCCTATGTGATTCCAGGTCCTCATCACGATAGGTAATTATACCAGTCTCTCCTAGGTCATGGTGGTACTTTCACTTATATTGTGTTGGTCAGCAGCAATTCATCTTAAAACCTAGAGTTAAAAAAAAATTAATTCATACAGTCTTAGGTTCAAAATATTTTCAGACTACGTAATGAGGCCCAAATAAAATGCATCTAATTTACCAATAGTTTTGGAAACAGACACAAACATAACAAAGTCAATCATAAATGTTTAGAAAGGTTTAGTTGAGGGGTGACAATAAATTGGGAACTGTGCCAATATGTGGGAGAGAGTCAAGGATAGAGCAGAGATAGATTGTGAAGTATGGCAGGCTTGGGAAGCTTGTATGAGGCCTTTACTGGGGAGAAAGTGTGAGCAACAGAAGAAAAAACACTACTCTTAAAGAAGTACAGGACCTCTGTCAAAAGCAGAAGGAAAGTTTGTCCTTAAGTCCCGAATGCAATAAAAAGAGGTATATATTTAACTATCACTGTTAAAAGGAAAGGGAAAGGAAGGGTCACACAGGGCAGAAAGCATCTGCTTTATGCTGAGTAATTTGGGATGTTACCCTTCATACAGTGCTAGTGAGAAAGGCACCTGCTGAGTTTCCGTATCAACTTCCTGCTGAGTTTCTCTATCAATAGAACACCAAATTGGAAAGAGTAGCAAAGAGGAAAGGTTAATTCCTAAACAAAATGTAAACACGTACAACTAATGCAAACCTCAAGAGCTTACTGTGAAGCTCAAATGAAATCATTGTTAGTTCAAGCTGCACCATTCTGTAACACCCCCCACCACTTCACAGACCCTGGTCAAAGTAAAACATTCCATGAGGGTTCGGACCATGACAAACATCCTGCCTGACCACTTGACTTTCTTATCATACCCTGGTGGGCAAAGACCCAACAGAAGGAACATCCCTATCATATCTTGATGGACAAAGGTCCAAGGAACATCCTATGACATCCCATTGGAAAAAGGGCCAAACCACCTGATCACAGGAACATCTTATCAATATGCCGCTGGGCAGCAAGCCATACTGCCCAAACCCCTCCCTCCCTCCCACACCTGTAAGTACTCCAGCCTGTAAGCAGTGGTGGGCTCTGGCATTAAGCTGGTCCCCCACCTCTGCAGTTCTCATGCTGGACATAAAAACCGCATTGCTGTAGAGCCGCTAACTCTCTCTGTCTTTAACCCTCACCTTCCCTTCAAAACCTAACAGTAATTATTAGGAACATCCATGTGTTCCCCCTATCTCTCAGCTGACAGGAGATATTAAGAGACTGAATACACCAGATGAGAAGAGAAGCCAGTAGAGCCTGTTACAGTAGACAGGGGAAGGAAGACCAGAGGCTATGGAGTCTGACTTCGGGCTCACTGTGGGCAGTGTCCCTGGCAGGTGACATTCAGCTTCTACATAGACAGTTTACAGGGACAGGAAGCTCACAACTGTACAGAGAAGACAATGCTGCTGCTTATATTCACACAGGAAGACAATGGAAGAAAATCAGTTATCTCTTTCTTTAACTCTGAAAATTGTTATGTCATGGAGCATTCCAACCAGAAACTACTTAGCGTAAGTATAACACTGATAAATTACATTACAAAAATGGTTAAGAGGCCGGGCACAGTGGCTCATACCTTTAATCCCAGCACTTTGGGAGGCCAAAGCAGGCAGATGGCTTGAGGTCAGGAGTTTGAGAATAGTCTGCCAATATGGTGAAACCCTGTCTCTATTAAATACAAAAATTAGCCAGGCGTGGTGGCAGGTATCTGTAATCCCTGCTATTTGGGAGGCTGAGGCATGAGAATCACTTGAACCCATGTGGCAGAGGTTGCAGTGGGCCGAGACTGCACCACTGCAATCCAGCCTGGCTGACAGAAGGAGTCCATCTCAAAAATAAATAAATTAATAAAATAAAAAAATAAAATGGTTAAGAATTTTAGCTATACAGAACAGTGATTCTCAACTTGAGGTGATTTTGTGTACTGAGGGGCATATGGCAGTATCTGGAGACATTTTCAATGATCAATAATTACTGGAAGGGAGTGCTACTGGCATCCAGTGGACAGAGGCCAGGGGTGTTCACCTACAATGTAGAGAGCCCCTATGACAAAGAATTAGCAGCTAGCCCCTTTCAGCGTTTCCTCATCCACAAAATGGGAATTCTAACAGGATGTACATGAAATTTGTAAAACATTTTATTAAGCCTATTTTGACTTTTTTTAGCCACAGCACAGTCCTGTGATTTGGTAAAGCAGACATTTGAAACTTTGTTTTACATATGAAGAAACAGAAGCTCAGAAAATGTAAGAAACTTGCTCAGGTAGCAAAGCTGTTAAGTGACAATGGTGGGCTTAGAAAGAAATTGATTTCTAATCCATGCTTTTCCCACTATTACTTTACAGATGAATGACAGAAAACTATAGAGGCTTAGAGACTTCCAATCTTTGGTATTGCCTCAAATATCAAAAGATTTCTTTTGCATGCCTGTGAATATGAACTCAGGATGAGGAACAACCACAAAAGAGGCTGAGCTGATTAAATTAAATGATGCAAAATGGAGCCTCCCACTGAAAAAGAAAAAAGTTTAAAATTTGGCTTAATGCCTTTTTTTCCATCTAGTTTTTATAGTTTCATTTGCCAAGTACATTATGTATTTTTAAAGACAACATGAAACTGCAATCATCCTTGGGAACAGGTACTATACAATGCATTTTATTCCTTATATTTTAAACACTGTGAGTTAACATATTTCAAATGCTGGTTTTGTGTTCTCTACCATTTATCCATGACAGGAAAAACTGCTTCCCCTAACTGCCATTTATTTTAAGAGAGGATAATTTCATTTTGTTCCACTAAACTGAAAAAGATGTCTATATTTCATCTTTTTAGTTTTATTCCCCAAAGTAAAATTTTTAAAGCTTCTCATTGCATGTGACTATAGCTGCAGCTTTAAGCTCTGCTGGTTGTTACATTTCTGGAATATAGTTACAAAGCATAAATAATTATTTTAAAAAACAAAAGATGAACCTTTTCCTGTTGGTTGTAAGATTTGACTTAGTTTTGTGCACCTCAATAGTGACACTTGGGAATGCAGAGAGGGAGAGGACGTTAAGAGGGCTAAAAATTATGTCTCTGCTTAGAGTCATCATCGAAAAACAATCTTTTTAAACCACAATAAACATGGCCAGGTTGATGTATTATTGACCAAATGTAAGCCTGGGAAGCATTATTACATCTGTGTGACACATTAAACACTTTTTAATGTGATTTTTACCCTAGATTAACAAATTTATATTACTTCTCAACATTTATTTAAAATTTCAGTCACTACAAAGATATATCATCAAGTCTGGCTACATAGAAAGGCTTTAGAAAGGACTCTTCATGCTAAGTACACAGGCACAAATGCTCCTTTTAAAAAGGACATTATTGACTTAAAATCTAGTTTCTTGGCCAGGTGCGGTGACTCACGCCTGTAATCTCAGCACTTTGGGAGGCTGAAGTGGGTGGATTACCTGAGGTGAGGAGTTCAAGACCAGCCTGGCCAATAAGGCAAAACCCCATCTCTTCTGAAAACACAAAAATTAGCCAGGTACAGTGGTGGTTGCCTGTAATCCCAGCTACTCGGGAGGCTGAGGCAGAAGAATCGCTCGAACCGAGGAGGCAGAGGTTGCAGTGAGCTGAGATCCTACCACTGCACTCTAGCATGGGTGACAGAGTGATATCCTGTCTCAAAAATAAATAATTAATTACTTGAATAAAATAAAATATAGTTTCCAATATCCAAATTTCCTTTATAAAATATACAATATACATGCAAAAACAAAAATAAAATAAAAACCCCCAACTTTTTCTAGTATCTATCAAATATACTTGCTGTCTTGAAATAACACTGGGATTAAGTAGTTTTTACTAACTCACTAATTTGGCATTAATCACACCCATGATGAGGATACCCTGGACTCAACTTTCTGTGTTGAATAAATACTGTAAGATATTCCTCTCTCTAGGTTGGGAGGCTAGCTTCATTCATTCAATTGTTAATTATCATCTATATGACACTGATTGTTCTAGCCACAGACCACACTGAGAAGGGATTCCCGCCTGCTGCTAAAATGAGAATGGGAGAGGCAGTCAGATAATTAGGTGATTCCAATAAGGTAAATTTAAGATGGACATTAACATCTGTTGGGAGAAACAAAACTATTTTTGCATTATGAAAGCAAGAGAGCCTTCTGAGGCACCACCCTGGGGGAGGCAAAGAGCCATAAATGCCGGTGTGGCACAGGGTTTGGCACACACGTGTTCACCCTGGGATGCTGGCCTGCTAAATGAATGACTGGCGAACAGGAAAGACCAAACAAAACACCAAAAATGTGAGAAACAGTCCAATGAGGAAGAAGATCCTGTCCCTCCAAATTGGCAACAATTATGTGTGTAAGGGACAGAAACAACAGACTAAGGGAACACCAGTGCAGCCTTCCAAACCTGGACTTTCTGCACACATTCTGTAAAGACTTTTAAAAAGTAGAGAGAGAAAAAAAGATGGATGTCTGTAAATTAAACTTTCACTCTGCATTTGCTTTAAGCCCTGATGTACTATGAAAATTTACATATAACTAAA